TGTATGCTAAGGTAGAAAAGCAGGATACTAGTATTCTCTACGGTATGTGACAGCAAAATTTTGCAATCAGTAAATTTAATACTTGTATGAAAGTCATAGAATGGGCTAATGAACATTACTAGCAGAGGGAATAGTCATTGTGTGACACAGTATAACAGCAACTAGATGTAACATATAGACTTTTAACCCCTTAAGTACACAACTTCTGGAATAAAAGGAATATAAAATTAATAAAATAATATTTCCGTCATGTGTCCTTAAGGGGTTAAAGTTACTTAATTGACAGCCACCTACCAACAGACAACAGACAGTCATTGTTAATTTTGTCGAATAAGATTTGAGATTTAGTCCACTAAAACTTAAACAACTCAAATGACTAAAATACGACTAAAACTAAAATGGCTTTTTAGTCAAAAGACTATGACTAAATCTAAATTGAAACTATGGTGGGTAAGACACACGGGGAGGGAGGAGAGGAAATAAGACACATTGGGGGATGAGGGAATGAGACACATGGGGGCTGGTGGTTGAAACACATAGGGGATTGAGACACATGGTGGACTGGGGTAATGAGACACATGGTGGACTGGGAGAAAAAGACACATGGGTGCTTGGAGAATGATACATATGAGGGGGCTGGGAGAATGAGACACAGGAGATGGCTGAGATAATGAGACACATAGGGGCTGGGAGAATGAGACACATGGAGGGAGTGGGGGCAGATGAGTACATGAAGCGGCTTGGGGGGAATGAGACACATGGAGGGTCTGGGGGGGAATGAGACACATTGAGGGGTTGGGGGAGGAATTGAGACACATGATCAGTTGTAGGAATGAGACTTGGGGGGCTGGTGGGGCTTGAGGGGACACAAAGTGACATAGAGATGCTGGGGGAGAAAGAGACAAGGTGTTGGGGGGTGGGAGACCCACAAATGGGACTATGGAGAGAAAGAGACACACAGAACAGCTGGGAAAGGAGGCAAAGAGACACAAAAAGGGCAGGCAGGGGCTTGCAGGGGGAGACACCCAGAGGGGCTGGGGGACACAAAGAGACACAGAGGGGCTGTGTAAGGGACAAAAGAGACAGCCTGGGGCATGGGAGATAGACACCTAGAGGGGCTAGGGACACACAAAGAGATAAAGAGGGGCTGGGGAAGGGGCAAAAGAGACAGACAGAGGCTTTAACTAAACCAATTAGATTTTAGTTGTGTTGACTAAAATCTACTAGAGATTTAGTCAACTAAAACTAGAATAAAACTAAAACGGCTTTTTAGTCAAAAGACTATGACTAAAACTAAATTGAAATTTGCTGCCAAAATTAACACTGCACCCAATTCTCCTCATCACCCCATTTAGTTACCTACCTTCACCTTTCTTCTTTATGCATGCGTTTTGGTAGGTCTTTAGTTTGGGAAAAACAATCAGAAAATGATATGTATATGTATATATACGTCTGCTTACAGTGATAAGCAAAACACTTGTATATTGTATATTACTTATTTTTTAAATAACATTTAAGTGACATTTAGATGGTATTTTAGATACAAATCAATTCTAGATTCCTTGATAAATGTAACTAAATATTTTTATGCCTGAATTCTAAACATATAATTTATATTAAAATATTCCCGGTATACCCTAGTGATGTACAGTTATACAAGCAATTTATTTGAAGTAACACAAACATACCTGACATATCTTTTTTTTCCAATTTGACAATTTTTATAGTTTTTCAAATGGGTTGCAAAACAAGATTAGGTGGTACAGAAAAAAGGAAGGGGTAGAGTTAACTGGGGGTCACAGTAGTCAATCTTTCACAAAGTATAGTTTTGTATACACTACATCACAGTAAGAACCAATGATCGTCTTATTCTTTTTAACATGTCGTTACATATATGTCGTAGAGCCTCTGGATTGTCAAAAACATACATTAGGGTACATATCAGAGGCATACATCTGGAACATGATTCAGGAATATATGTGTCCACTCTTCTCTGGGTATACCTCAAGGATACATGACATGAGCTCCCAGGGCTATTCTTGCGGTAAGCTCAGGCTTAATTTCTCTGTGACTCCCTCCCGTCAAGCTATGATTTCAGGGGTGGACCCGTGAGCTGGGTGTCAGACATCCCATACTTTTGCCTCCTGTTGAAGGGTTAGGTAGGTTGTGTAAATCGTAGCTGTGCGTAGTTGCCTTGTGCCCCGTTGTTGAGATGCACTCTCTACCTGTATGTCCCTAGCTCATGTGTGCATGTGGAATTCTTTCTTTATCCTATGGTGAAGCAGAGAATCTTTAAGGGAAGGCGGTCGCCATACACAAAGGGGTGGGGGGCGGAATGTGTCATCCCCAACTATGTACATGTGGGTTCGATTTCTGACTTGTGAGGCACCTTTTAAAGGTAATGCTGTAGAGGATGGTAATCCTATTTAGGTACTATTTGGTTGGTACTCTGGGTGGGTTAGGAGTGCATGAGCACTCCATAGGAGCGAAAACTCACTCCCGTGGGGAGGGGCTTATTGATGAGGTTAAAGTAGCTTTAATTGATATGGACTGTTCATCATCTCCCGTTTGCATGTGCGGCCTTGCTATCCGCCTGCAGAATAGGCCCTCACCCTTTTTTTTTTTTTTTCCGTTAATTGTACCCTGTGTCTCCTCTGTCCCATCTTTGTTTCCATATACTTCCTGCTCGTTTGGTTACGTGGTCAGCCCTAATTTGTGTACATGGCATTTCCTCATGGTCCCAATTCACCTCTATGTGGTTTATGAGGATGTCTCTTTCTGGAGTCCCTGTTGATTTCCATCTCCTGGCTATCAGGGTATTTGCTGCGATGAATGTTTGAAGTAGGAGCTTGCGGTCCATCGGCTCATAATGTCTGAGCCCCATAAACAGTAGACCCAGACCAGGTGAAAGGGCACATCCTGCACCATTTGCCAGTAATGTCAAATATTGGGGCAAGCCCACCAAATGTGCAACATCGTACCCATATTTTTTCCCACATCTCCAACATGTTTGAGGTGTCTGGATACATGCGTGCCAACTTTTCTGAAACATAGTACCATCTGTATTGAATTTTTTGTATTAATTCAATGTGTGACATGCACGCTGTGTGGCCTTTATGAGCTGAAAATGCCTATTGACACTGTGCGTCAGTAAAATTAGTATCAAGCTCTTTGTGCCACTCTTTCATAAAAATGTGAAGTTCAGATATGTGAGACGTGAGGAGGTCGTTATATATTGAGGAAAGTGTAGAATGATGTACCGTCCCTCTTTATCGATATCAAGGGTATGCACTTCTAGGGCTATATGTTTGCTGATGAGTATGGAGTATTTGACTTGGTGGGTGTGGTGGAGTGAAATTGTTGGAGATAGTTGTGATGTCCTAGCGTTGGGTGGTCATTGGTTTTAAAATGGGTCTCCTGCAGGCAGACAATGTCCGCCTCTTGGGATCTAAGATCCCTATATAGATGATGCCTCTGCACTAGGAGATTCAGTCTAAGCACATTATGTGTAAGAATTTTCATGGTGGTTTGCTTGGGAGATACCAGTTATTTCTAAATAAGTAATAAGTCCTCAATAGAGGAGTCACCTTTCCCAGTCAAGTCAAGCCAGATGATCCTCTTCGAAAAAGGCGCTCTTCCCCCCAGATCCCAATTGGAGGAGCCCAGTGGTATCACCATGGTGAGCATACATGTACCAATAACATTAGGTCCCCTGAGAAAGGAGGTTATGTGCAGGCCACTCACATGGCCTTGGAATTATAGAAGTTGGTAAGGCAAGGAAGGGTTGTGAGGTATGCCAAAGAACAACATAACAAGTACGGTGTAGCATAATAGGGGGGTGAGGATATTTACATGTGCCAATCTATTGGCAAAGCACCATCTTTTGGTGCCGGGGGGTAGAAGCTAGTTACATGCTGCAAGAACATCGACTCTATTGTGCTTAGTCGTGCGCTATGTTTGGCCCGATGGTATATGTGATCATTGAGCTTTTGGTGGTTAGGAAGACACATATGTGCTTGGTTAGTCCTTTGAGCATATCTGTATGGATATATGGTGGGCATAGAAAGGAAGGAAGGGGTTGTTGGGCTTTTCCAATGGAGTACACCCTGTCCCCAGCCTTTATTCAGCTATTGTTTGGTTTTGGTGTTCCATGGTTCATAGGAATTAAATTAGCCCCTTTTTGCAGCATCTCTCCTGCATTTTGTGAAGCCTGTCAGTTCGCTATTGCATGCCAGCGCTTAGGTTACCTACAACCTACTCGATTGCTAGGCCGTTTAACAAGTGAGTGGTGTAAATTAATCACAATAATGCAGCACAACAATGCATTGAGAGAATACCATGCCTATATAGCCATTGAAGGGCTCTGTATTGTACACAATACATTTTAAATCTTAGGATTATTTTCAACAGGCCAGAAGTCAGTTTAGTAAAAGAAAAGCAAGCTTGCCTCCCTTTTACACCTGCCAGACGTCCCCTTTACTGTGCTAGCATCCGAAATGCCTGTAACACATGTCGCAAAAAGAATGCACGGCAGGTGCACAACACAGATGTGCCTTAATAGCATAATACATGTATACAGTAATAGAGTGACACATGAAACCAGTAACAGTGAAATTAGGTAATATATGCCTGTCCGTGGGTCCCCACATAATAGATACCGTGTGTTTCAGCTAAGCAATCTGGACATTGTTTTTGTTTATTGTTCTTTTTTTGGGAGGAGTCTGGAGTTTTGGGGAGTTGAAATTCGGTGCCCATTTTCAGGGATGGGTGTCCCGTGAGGCCCCTTCTTTTGGGCATTACATGAATACTATGGGGGGGATTGGAAGGAACATCCTTAATAAAAACAGGGAGAGAACCACCATATGGGTCATATTTTCAATAACAGGTTATGTAAACTTTACAGTTGCTGCCTACAGCATTGTAGGTTATGGTATATAAATGATACTTGCTAGAGGAGGTTTGCGGCCTCGATCTTCTCCCATGTCGATACCGCCTGTCAGTTATTTGCGTGCTCTCTTCCATTTGGGGAACAAGCGTGCAGTGCGAGTTCCTGGTCCAGAGGATTCAGGCACTTCAAAGCTCCAGCTTTGGAGAATCCTGAGGCCGTCTTCCAGTGAGTTTATTGCCGTTACAGTCCCGTTCTTCAGGATGAGTAGTTTTGTAGGGTATCCCCATCTGTATAACAGTCTTCGATCCCTTAAGTCACTTGTTATTTGCACAAACAGCTTCCTCCTCCTGAGTGTCATTGCGGAGATGTCTGCAAATATGGATATCTGCTGGTAGGTGGCTTGTAGGTTTTTAGCCGATTGGCTAACCTTGAGCACTATTTCCTTGGCAAGAAAGTAATGCATTTTCAAGATGACGTCTCTAGGTATATCCTTATCCAGGAAGGCAGGTTTAGCAATTCTGTGTAGTCTGTCCATTAGTAGAAGATCATTCTGCAGATCAGGGACTAGAGATTTGAAAATATCCATGACATATGCTGTGAGATCCACTGCAGACACTGTTTCACTGTTTTTTTTTTCAGCGTGTCTCTTCCCTTTGTGGTGAGACATGATTGTTTAGCCATGTAGAATAGTAATGATCGGGCAGTTTTTGTTCCATTAGAGCCAGTGAAGCATGGAGCTAAAGTGATATGCGACTGCTCTCCACCATGCTAAAAGCATACAATGAGAGTACATTTGTATATAGTACATTTATTAATTGCTGCTGCATTTCTGATAAGGGCCAACTGTCTTTCATTGTCCTTGATTGTACAGTGATAATAAAGTTGAATCTGACAATTCTCCATACTGATCTTGAGCCATAGATCCTATTTATTTATTTATTTTTATTTTCCTTTCTCTCCTTGCCTACTTCCTGTTCCGTTCTTCAACTGTTTCTATCCAATATATCCCTGTACTTGTTTGTTCAGAAATGGAAAATCTTTCTCCACTTTAACGCTAACCTTGTTTCTGTTGTAAGGTTTCTGTGTTTTTCCTGTCTGTTCTTTTTGATATTTGTTGTTTTTGTCTTATTATTCTGTGTGGTTTTGCTTCTGTAAGTAATCATTTTTTTTCTTATCTATTACAAGTTATGGTTAGTTCTTTTTGGACCCTCACTAATGTTTCTGGTGTGTTGCTCCTAGACTCCTATATTACAAAAGGTGAAGGAGAGGACATTACTTGACGTTTATTCTCCAGTCTTGAAAGTCTTTACATATCAATAACAATTTATTTAATTGCTTTTCATTTTCTTGTTTACTCAATCTTATTGTATCTCACTGATTGTACTCATTATTATTTTCAATAAAAATGTAATTGAGAAAAAAAAAAAAAGATAAGGCCAAATCAGAACTGAAGGCCAAAGGAACTAAATGATTTATTTTAATATGTTTTGACAATCTCGTTGAAATAGTTATCTAGAAACTGTTATGAGAAAGGCACCATAAAACTGTCACGGTGCCACGGGTTTCTGTCGGCGTGACCGCACTGAAAAACAGTGGTCACACCGACAGAAATAACAGAAATAACAAACACTCATCTTACCCGCGGCAGATCAAACCTGACCTCCTTCCATCTTGGTCCCTGGTGTGGGCGGCATTAACAAAGATGCCGGTCGCTGCGATTCTATTTCGAAAAAATAAATACCTTTTGCCCATATCAAAGATGGTGCTTACGCACGTTTTGGGGTCAGAGGTCACATATAGCCAATTACAGCTCTAGGAGGGTTACTTAAACTCAAATGACCTTTTGATCAGTGCCCTGTTGTGGTTTCCCTTAGCTGGTTATCCGAGAGTGTGTTCCTGATCTTTGTATTTCTGGTATTTGACTTTGGCTTCGTTTGACTTCCCTGATTTCTGGAATCCTTGACTTTTGGCTTTCTCTCATTCTTGTGTCTCATTCTGTATCCCTGACCTTGGCAAATATTTTGACTATTCTTATTTACTTTCAGTCCGGCCATTCTAAGGTCCAGTTATACGTTATCCTTAGTCCTAGATGTGATACTATTTCTGCGTGCTGGGTCCACAGTAATGCTGACATAAACACTCACTTAACAATAATAAGACTCTAGTGTACTTTTTAAAATGTGTGGAAAACCTTAGCCCTTCAGTTAATTAATACATCTTTTTTTGAAAAGGTAAATGTGTTTCAACCACCAGTCCCCTATGTGTCTCATTCCCTCAACCCCCAATTTGTCTTATTTCCTCTCATCCCTCCTCCGTATTTCTTACCCACCATTGTTCATTTTGGTGGCAAATTTCAATTTAGTTTTAGTCATAGTCTTTTGACTAAAAAGCCATTTTAGTTTTAGTCGTATTTTAGTCATTTGAGTTGTTTTAGTTTTAGTTGACTAAATCTCAAATCTTATTCAACAAAAGTAACAATGATTTTATTAAAGACACGGAGGCTCCTATTATGCATTCTCTTTCTTTATTATACTCCCAGCAGCAAGAAAAAGGGAAGTATGAGAGAATCATAGAAAAAAAGAAACCATAACAATAGCCTGGTAACAGTAGCACCAATCAGTATCCAGTATAATCCATGTAGGTGTAGTGCTCCTTGACTCCTCCTCTTTCTTGCTGCTCCCTCAGACAAGTTAAGTACCTCATCTTGCTACTCCGGTGATTTCTTATACATTTATTTGTATTTGCTAATTCCTATACATTATTTGGATGTTCCTTAAATTGTACATTGTGCTACATTTATTGTATATTTATTGTCAGTTCTTACTGTCTGTGGTATATCCTTCTGGTGTCAGGTGAGTGCTTCCTATTTGGTGCCAGGGGAGTGCTAGTCCTCCCTGCCCTCACCTAGGGATTGTCTTCATCTATTTTCCCTGTTGGGTAACTTGTATTAGGCAGCCCTTTTTTCAGTTCAGCCCCGCATGCGCAGTTTGTGGCATGGCGGCCATCTTTTTGATTTCCGTCACTGCAAGTGTGACTTTCACTCGCAGCGGCCATTTTAAATGTGATTTCGGCGGGAAACTGGTGTGTAACGAGCTTCAGCGCATAACTGTTTCTCCAACCCGCCTAAGCACTCTCCTAAGACCCAGACTGAGATATCATTGCTGTTTTTGTGGTTATTGCTGTAAGTGTGGTGTGGAGGATTAATCTATCTTGACACCCTTTTCTGTTTGTCTCTCTCAATCGTTAGTTCTTTTCCTTTACAGGCTACTACACTTGTACACTTATGCACCTAGCCAATATTAATAAGGCTATTTTACTTGTCCCAATATCTTGTCATTAGTTGGACTTGTTTATATATATAACCCTGTAAAGAATCTATCTGCTAAATGCAGGATCAGAGTGAGAGACCTTCAGGGTCTATGTGCCCCACACCAGGTGTTTCCCCCTCTAACAAGGGAGGTACAGGTGACGCCAGCCTCATGGCATCGGAGGAATTTCAATCCCTCCTAGACTCCACCATGGCACAGTCCATTAACAGAGCTTTAACCTCTGCGATGGGGGTCATGTCATCTTCTATCACTCAGTCTATAACAGAGGCATTGATACAGACACAGACTAGTGGCATGCAGAACACACGCAACCCGGGACCCACTAACATGGCACAACTGGGACGCAAGGCTTTGGCAAAGAGCAGACATGTGGCCTCCCCTCAAGAGCTGCAGGTTCAGCCTGCCTCAGGCTGTCAAAGATGGTGCAATACCACTGAGCACTAGAGCCCCTGGCTGGGCAAAATCGACCAGAACTTGGAAACGGACACGTGCCCATGGGGATTCGTCTGATTCGGACCGGAGTTTGGAGGAGGAGTATGATGACTCCTTTATAGACCACTACAGTGCGGAATTTTCTGATTCCGGGTCTGACATAAAAACAGGCGTTGTGACCCAAAAGACTACAGCTCAGGGCGCTGAGCCTGCTGACTCAGGTGAGGGCGACAATTTGCGGGACCCACTGGGTAACCCGTTATTTGACCCAGATGACCTCCGTTACCCTCGCTCGGCAGCATGGGAGCCGCCTACACACATCGCGAAGTACCTCGCACTTCGGGTGCGAAAGCCTTTATCTAAAGAAGGGCGCAATAAGTTACGGGCGGAATGCCCACGACCCATCCTTCCAGACTCGGTGGAAAAAACACCTGACGTGGACCCTCAGTTGGTCCAATTCTTGAACAAGTCTGGGTGGAAACCAAGGAAGGGCTTAGACTTTTCCCTCCGGAACTGCCGAGACAAATTCCTTGATACTTTGGGACCCATATCTAAACTGTAGTCCGCCCAAACGGGCAAAAGCGAATTTGATTTCGAAGTAGCGATAGGCTGGCTGCAGAGATTAGTCTGCATGGTGGGTAACGCCAATACGGCTATGGCTACCGAACACCGCAAGGCGATTCTCCTGAAAATAGAGCCCAAACTGACCAGCATGGCGACCAACGAGCTGGAGCCAGCTGCTAAAGGCTTATTTTTTGGTGAATCCTTTATTAAGGATCTTGGGCTGTACGTAAAGACATTTAAAGCAATTGATAAAGCTCAGACATCTCTTAAGAGAGTATTCGCCCCTCTAGTTTTTGGAGGGTCCGGCGGAGGAAGGAGCCGTCTACCCGGCCGTGGATTTCGAGGCTCAAATAGAGCCGGCAGAGGCTCCTTTAATAACCAGAGACCGGTGTCGGAGCGACACTATACCCCATTCTTCCCATCTCAGGGACGGCCCTGGAATTCCCGTGGATCACGGGGGTCTGTTTCAGGCAGATGACCTTATGGTGAGTACTGAGTATCTCCTTTTTTCCCATGTAAAAGTGGGGGGCAGACTGGCATTGTTTCATCATGCTTGGAAAATTTTAACCGCAGATGTTTGGGTATTAAAGACGATACAAGGGTACCTATTAGAGTTAACCTCCCACCCGTTCAGACGCAGTTCCCTTGAGAACTAAATATTGCCGACCAACACCAAACAATGATCTCAGCAGAGATCGCAGAGTTAACATCAAAAAACGCTATCCAACAAATCCAATGGGACACAGAAGGGTTCGTGAGCAACCTGTTTCTGGTCCTCAAGAAAGGGGGCGGGGAACGCCCAGTAATTAATCTCCAACCTCTAAATGCGTTTGTCCGGTACCACCATTTCAAAATGGAGGGTATTCATTGCCTTCGGGACCTCCTCATACCATCGGATTGGATGGTCAAAATAGATTTACGGGATGCTTACCTAACAATCCCTATTGCAGAAGCGCATCAGAACCTACTGCAGTTTCAGTGGCAGGGAACGAAATAGAGGTTTGTATGTCTGCCATTTGGCCTATCCTCTGCTCCATGGTGCTTCACAAAGTGCTGAAGCCAGTGATTGCCTTTCTGCGCACACGAGGGGTCAGATTGATAATTTATCTAGACGACATCCTTCTTCTGTCCCAGTCTCAATCCCAACCATGCATTCACCTGTCCTGGACGACCCACCTTCTCCAAAACTTAGGATTCTTGGTGAATTGGGAGAAATCAATTCTACAACCCTCCAGATGCATGGAATTTCTGGGTTTCCAAGTGGACTCTGTCCAACAGAGATTGTGTCTACCCAAAGACAAAATGATTTTGATCAAGAAAGAGATCAGACGACTTATGCATAGTACAACCATTTCCCTCCGACAACTTGCCAGGGTCATAGGGCTATTGGCATCGTCCATACATGCGATCTTCCCGGGACCGTTACAGTATTATGCCCTACAAAGGCTCAAAGCCTCATACCTAGGCTCCAGTCACTCATACGAAACCTGTGTTATACTGGACAAAGACTCCAGGGAAGAGCTGGACTGGTGGCTAACCCACATGGAGGCATGGAACGGACGGGCGATAGTTGGATCGACCAGGTCATAGAGTCAGACGCCAGCATACACGGCTGGGGCGCGCATTGCGGGTCAGTTTCCACCAGTGGCAGATGGTCAAACGAAGAATCGCTGTTACACATCAACTGCCTAGAACTATTAGCAGCGTCCTTTGCCATTCGCAGTATGACCCCCACAGGCATTTCATGCTCGATCTTAATCAAGATGGACAACATCTCAGCGGTGCGTTATATCAACCACCTAGGAGGGACGAAATCCAAGGTGCTCGCTCTGATGGCTCGATATTTTTGGCACTACTGCCTGGAACACAGCATTTCGGTAATAGCAGAATACATTCCGGGCCAGGACAATACGATGGCAGATTGGAACTCCCGATACCTTCGGGACGCAGGGGATTGGCATCTCCACCCAATGATTTTCCAGCGCCTCTCTCGACTCTAGGGACCTTTCAATATAGACCTCTCGTCTAAACACCCAGCTCCCTCGGTTCTTCAGTTGGAGACCGGATCCAGATGCTCTGGCGACAGATGCATTCCTACAGGACTGGACCAAGGGCAGGAACTACGCTTTTCCCCCTTTCAACCTCATTTCTAGGACCCTAGCGGTCCTTCGATATTCCAGGGGAACAGTGGTGCTTGTAACCCCATTATGGAGGTCACAACCTTGGTTTCCTCAGTTATTGGAAATGTCGATAGATTTCCCACAGCTGTTGCCGGACATGCCCTACATCTTGGCCAAGCCAGAGGGAATAAGTCACGAACTGGCTGACCAGGGTCTACTTCAGCTGATGGCATGGCTCATTTCAGGAGATCATGGAATCTCGAGGAGGTTTCGCAGATGACAGTCTCCTGGCAGAGTCGTGGGCACCGGGTACCAGACATGCCTATGGGTCGGCTTGGAAAAAGTGGACTGATTGGTGCGTGGGTCAGTCAATGGATCCCATATCAGCTCCTACAAAAGAAATTCTACAATTTCTGACCCTACTCTTTGAGGAAGGAAAAGCCTTTCGCACTATATATCTGTACAGATCAGCCATATCAGCGAGACATATGGGGTTGGATGACACCCCAATAGGTAAACATGCTCTTATCTGTCATTCACTCAAAGGCATCCATCTTACTCGACCTCCTCAAACTCGATATTCTTCCTTTTGGGATGTCAATATGATCTTTCATTTGATCGAATCTTGGCCTGTGAACCAGGAACTTTCTCTAAAGCAATTGTCGGCCAAGCTGCTGATGCTGTTTTGTTTACTTTCATGTAAACGGGTTACTAATGTCAGAGCGCTAGACTGGCATTCACGCATTTTTGTCCCAAACGGAGTATCCTTTAATATTTCACGTAGGACAAAATCCTCGACTAAGGAAGTTTTCTACCCATCATTTCCGGACAACCCAAATTTGTGCCCTGTGTTATGTCTGAAGGAATACGAGCATTGTACATCCATTATTCATCTTGTTCAAAGTACCTCACCTACCAGTATCTACTACTACTTTAGCTCGTTGGATCAAATGGTTGATGTCAATGGCAGACATAGACACCTCAATTTTTTCCTCACACTCCATTCGCGGAGCTATGGCCTCTAAAGCCGCCATGACAGGTTGTAAATTGGAGGGTATCCTACGAGCAGCCGACTGGTCGAATGAGTCTACATTTCTTAATTTCTGTTTTCGCCCAGTGCAACACATTTCCAGTTCAGTGATTGCTCAGCTTTAAAATAGCATAATAGGAGCCTTTGTGTCTTTAATAAAATTACCAGATTTTACTATTAACATGACGTAAAGTCAAGATTTTATTAATGACACGGAGGCGAGTATTATTCCCACCCACCCTACCCAGGGTGGTGATTAAGTTGCAACCCAGACATGGGGCCTTTAGGATGACTTAATACGGTAAGTACAAGATCCTTCATGGCACCGGTGAGTAAGTATTCAATGAATATCGCTTATATGATATTTATTTCGATTTAGCAACATGGTTGACGAACTTGATATATTTACATTGAATGATTAACATGGTTGACGAGTTGTTAATTGCGGAATAGCAGTCACGAGATTTCGATATTACCATATTTTTCTTCTCTTTTAGCTTGAATACAACTTGACAGTTGGCGGTTGAAACTTTTCTTTATTGAAGTTCCAGTTATGGTTTTGGTTCGTGAATTCATATTTCTGGTTGGAATACCTTGAAATTTGCACTAATGGTCTTCGGGATCTACGCAGAAAGAGGAGGAGTCAAGGAGCACTACACCTATATGGATTATACTGGATGCTGATTGGTGCTACTGTTACCAGGCTATTGTTATGGTTTCTTTTTTCTATGATTCTCTCATACTTCCCTTTTTCTTGCTGCTGGGAGTATAATAAAGAAAGAGAATGCATAATACTCGCCTCCGTATCATTAATAAAATCATGACTTTATGTCATGTTAATAGTAAAATCTGGTATTTGTCTGTTGTCTGCTGCTAGGTGGCTGTCAAAGAAGTAACTTTAAAAGTGTACATGTTACACCCAGTTGCTGTTATGCTGTGTCACACAATGACTATTCCCTCTGCTAGTAATGTTCATTAGTCCATTATATGGCTTTCATACAAGTATTTAATTTACTGATTACAACATTTTGCTGTCACATACCATAGAGAATACTAGTATCCTGCTTTTCTCCCTCAGCGTAACAAAAAATAAATGAGACTCAACCACTTGGGAGGGACAGCTAAAAGGAGCTTACAAATTTATTTTAGAAAAACACAACTTGAGCTTTGGGATGTGTATAAGAACTGATGGAATATAAAAACATTATCCATGTCATATTGTAAGACTGGCACCGAGAACATTCTATTTGTTATGTGTAATAAAAACCACTTGCTGCCTTTGGGAAAGATTTATTTACAACATGTTCATATATTATAAAGATTGTAAATTAACTTAATTCACAACATCATTACAATAGGTTTGGAAACTTGAAAAGGGACACTCCCAGTTGGAGTCTACCAATTCAGTTAAAATAAATAATTAAGACATTAAAAATAAATATAAAAAAAACCAACAATACAAAAAAGTAACACTCTAAAATTAAAAAAAACAACAACAGTATTTGATTTTAATGTTTGGATGTTTTTTTTACCCTTTACATGTCAGATGCTCTCCCCAAAATGAAAAAAATCACAAAGTTTTTTTTCCAGCGGCAAATCTTCTCTCACATCTGCTCCACCCACAGGAAAGTGTCAGTGTTGATATTGTCCCTTCCTGCCCAGCGGAAATTGGCACATTGCTGTGAATGTGCCAAACAAATGCGGTGAGCGCCCAATAGAATACTTCTGATAGAATACTTCTGATAGGTAAGCAATAGACTAATACTTATCTATAAAACTCTCTTTTGCTTGAATGTTCACTGGTGGAGTGAACAAGAAAGCCCTCCTGGGTGTCAGTAAGAAATATATTCCTACACTAATTAGCACAAGGGGACAGTATTTAAAGTCATAAAGTACTTCAACAAGGTCCTCTTAAAAATGATAAAAAAATAAAAATGAAAAAGATCCTAAGATTTCGAACTCCTGCATTTCCTGTAAAACTCCAGGCTGTGCAGTATTTGCAGTGAGCTCTCTTCAAACAAGGCAGTTTGCTGATATTTGCCACAAGCAGTGCTATATGGAATCAGAAAGTGTTTTGGGAGAACTGTAGCTCAGTTGTCAACTTTCAATGTAGAACTTCTGAAGCAAAAAAGAAACTGCAAAATTTAAGGAAGTGGCTTGAAAGGACTGTCTTGTAAACAAAGCTATCTAGTATTTAAAAAAAACAAAACAAACAAAAAACAGCATATTTGTTTGAGAAAAGCACATAGCATAAGTAACTGTAAACTAAATTATATGTCACAACACATATGTGTTGGTGTCTTGTTTGTTCTCTATCCAGATAGTATTTATTGTAAAAAAACAAACAAAAAAACAGAAAGTATTATTAAAATTAATGGAATTATCAAATCCTGTGTTCAACATTCAAACATTCTTTCTAGATGTATTAATAAGATTAGCTAAGAGGGAAAGGTGTCAATATTTTAACATTTCTGTTTTAAAGTTAGGACATTTTATCTTGATCAAATTGATAACTATATTTTTTTTTCTCCGAGGGCCTTGATTTAATATTATTGGATAGACCTTTCAAATAATTTAATAATGTTAGATAAACTTTTAAAATTATTAAATATTATAAAAATGTTAACTAAATGTTTTAATATTTTGATATATTGATATATATATATTTATATACTATATATTTATTTTAATATTTAAAAACAGAATTTTAATTGTAAGACAGCTGGTGTTATCTACATCTTAATATGTCCTTGTGGCATGAAATATGTAGTTTAAAACTTTAGTCCCTTTAAAGAAAGTGCGTTCAGTAGTCTCACATAGGTAGACTCCAGGGACCAGACGCTTGAACGTTTATCATCAGGGATCTTCTAGAGATCTATGGTTTAAAGGTGTTGAGCGCATTAATATGAAACAAAGAGGAGGTGATCTGGACCTTGCTCTGAAATGTAGGGAGTGCTATTGGACCCTTAGATTACAAACATTGGTACCTTTGGGGTTAAACAAAGGATTCACGTTTACTCTAGTTATAGCTCGCTCATCATCCTCACCGTTATCCTATATGGGCTGTAAATACTACTAGCCTTCTTTCAAATATGTAAATAAATTAAAAATGTATGCTTGTCAAGATATGTTGTTTCACCTTTACTGTTTATTGTTGCATCTTTAGTTTGGATCCTCTATATTTAGGAAGAGGTTAGTACCATAGATAACCAATTGGGGTTCTCTAATGGCAGGTGATAACCTTGGAAGCCTATTATGGACTGGGCACCTAAAAGGGTATAAACAATTTGGTATTTTGCTATTTGTTTTTTATTTGGTTGCCTACCGTACTTCCCAAATGATCAGATATTTGCTTGTCTTGTCTGGACTATCTCTGCCCATAATAGGTCTGTCTTAGAGCTAGATTGGTATCCCTTTAACATCAAATAATTGAAACAAATTACTTAGTCCCACCAACCTTGCTTTTTACATGAGGGTTTTCGGTTCTTTGTTTATGTCTTTGTACAAGTGTATTTTCTAATAAAGTATGATTACTTTTTTTTACTGTGTCATTAAGGAAAAATACTGCTTACAGGGATCTTTTATTCTCTGTTTGCTCCCATTTGAGGGTGTAAGGTGCATACTGAAATTGTACAAAATTGCCTTGAAAATTCATGAGACAGTATAAGTGTGAGAAAAATGAATTTAATTTCATGGAGAATAACTATTGTAGTTAAAGTTGCTTTGTTTAAGTTAATTAAACATATGACAACTCGAGTTCAAGAGAGCACCCACAAGGATTTCTTTTCATGAAACACATATCTAAGGAAGCTGTCTAAATGGTGTTTAGACTTATGTTATTAAACTACTAATTGGATAATCTTGAAGCCCTATTCTGTTAGCAGATACTTGCGCACTGAGCTTTAAGGTCATTGACTGCAGTGAAAAAAATGAAAAACATCTGAGCTATGCAGTATTTTTGGCAGTTTCTAGAACAATAATGCAAAACTAATGGAGAACAATAATGGCACAAACATTATTCTTTACTTTTTTATGTTCATGTTTTGTGAGTATATATGATGCATATAGGTGTCTCACACCGCTGATAGATATATACAGTTACAGCTGAAATACATACATTATTTACAGTCACATTGTTAGCGGTTATACTTTGTACAGAGACATAGGATTCCCAGTTTGTGTCCAGTTTGAGGTGTGGATTTTGGCAGAACAAGTATGAGATCTTCATACCACAGCAGAATTAGGAAAGCAACGATAGGAAGCACAATTCAAGAACAAGCAAGGTTTCAAGGATAGAAGGGAAAAATAGGACCTCAGGGATGGGTAGTGCAGAGGTGGTGCATGTACCTATTTGGGTATCAGACTCAGGTAATGCAAGGACAAGCAGCATAGTATCTTCAGGAACAGGAGATCAGAAGGAACAGAAATAATCTCACCAGAAGGGACAGAGATAACCTCAGCGACGGGTAGCATAGAGACAGCACATGTAGCCATTTTGGTTTCAGGGGCAGGTAATGCATTGGGAATGAAAGGTATTAATTTCAGCATACCAAAAAGGTGCATCAAGAAGGCAAGAATAGGCAGGGCAAAATATTCACGACCAGGAGAGATTTCAACGTTTGAAGGGACGGGTATAACCTCAGCGATAGGTAGCACAGAGGGGGTGTATATACTCATTTTGGTTTTGCTTTTGAAATGACAAGTATGAATTTAGCATACCACAGGTGTATCAGGAATGCAAGGATAGATATGCCAATGTGTTCATTAACACATTTTGTGCAGTGTCAGAAGTCATTGTCCTGGCCACTGGTTCAGGAGCAATTTCATTTATCAGTAGAGCCACGTTTCCTTGGCTTAAGAAAAAGGTTTCTCCTACTGCAGGATCCAATTCTAATGCTGCCAATGTGGACACTTCTATACTGGCAAGAGTCAGCTATGAATTTATCATCATGTATAATTCTTCTGGAATAGAAGACACTCTTTGTATTGACAGAGGAGGAGAGCCAGAGATACATCACTTTTGACTCTTGATTCGCGGGGGCTGCTTGTAGAGTCTCTTTCTCTGTAGGTAGCAGAGTCAAAGAGTCTGAGACCATTTCCAGAGTGGGATTCTTAGGAGAGAGGAACTTCACTGCAGTTTTGGAATGAGCAGACCGAGTTTTTAAAGACCTTCTTTTCTGGTGTTTGGACATTGAAATATTAGTAATTGTAGTTTTCACAGAAACTGGACTTTGAACTCTATGCATTGGAGAAAAGGTTTTGCAAATCAGAGAGACAGTTGTTCTTGATTGCAGTATGAACATTTAGTAAACTAGAGTTCATCTGGAATTTGTGACTATGAAGCAGAGAGCAATTTTAATTACAATTGAGAGTCAGCATGAAAAGAAAATGAATTTGAAACATAGTTCGCATATATGCGGTTTCTTCACCAGCTTCCAATGAACAAAGTATACAGGATGCTGGGCATGAGTAGTAGGTTTTGTATCCCAATCAGGAGGATGAACATGTCAGTCCTCTAAGTCAGAGTCAAAGTCAGGAGAACAGGATGCAAAATCTACAGTGTTGGTACTATGAAGTGTGTGGTGCTGTGGGTTTGATTTGTCCTCAACAGCACTCAGAGGTTAATCTGAAACAGAACTGATGACATCAGAATAAGTCAAAAAAGGGTTAACAGGAAAATGGGTAACAGAGTTTATTGCAGAACTTGCAGCCAGGGATTCTAAAGATGCAAGAGGGGAAGGTTTTTTTTTTTTTTGAGCTACTGTGGAATCAAAAAGTTTAATCCTATTTTGTACCATTTCAGT